AAAGTATGCTGTCGGCACAATAATGATCTATCACATGTTTAATATTTTCAGCAGCTCCATGGTTGTTGAAATGCATAATTCCAGCTTGACCTAACTTGAGTTTTCTCAATTGCCATGGAAGGAACGTGAATCTCCATTTAGCATTTAGGATTGCTGAAAATGTTATGCAAAAATAATTTATATAGCCACTCTTCTCTATTTCCTGTTAAGGCAAAATTGCCCTGACTATCACTTTGTTGCTAAGTACCTCCTCTGCCTTTTCCATTTCAGGACTGATCAGATAATCATTTGTAATTTTTGCAGTGGACAATGGGGGGGAAACTCTGTTAGTTGCCTAGCAATTGCAGACTTTGTCTCTCAACCATTTATGGTAATCCAATCTGAGTCACAGGCAGAATACCAAGGAACAGTTAATGTAGTCGAAGTAAGATGTAGTTTGGAGAGAAATATACTTAGTACATGCAAGATGGACACCATATGATGTCTCTTCCTCCCTCAAGGCTTGTATATTTTAAAATAAATACATGAAACATCTCAAAAATGCTTTCCCAAAAGGCAACAAACCCATTCCCCACCATTCAGTCATAACAAAAGAAGCTTCCTAGATGAAAAGTGAAATGTTTTCAAGAAAAAAACAACAAGACAGTCCAGTTGCCTGTTGGAAAAGCACCTTTGGGACAACCATGGCCTGGATGACTGAGAATCTGCAACAACTGTCAATCCCACTATTCATGCAATATCATGATTGTATTGGAAAATTATGAGAAGAAACAAAACAAGGTTGAAAACGCTTCGGTGAGATCAACTCTTATGTCCTTAAAATAATTAGAAGATAATTGTTCATACTACGGCTTTTGGCTTTTCCTCTTTTCATGCAAGTAATTCCAAATGTGCATTTAGTACTTTTAGCACAGGTGATGATTGAGAGAAGTTTCACTTAATATTGAAAATGTGATATTATAAATTCAGTTATATTTCTTTCCACATTTCCTGCTCATAGAAATGTTCGTTGTATAAGAATAAAAATCTAATATTCCACAGGATTAAAAAAAAATCTGACAGCTCTAAATCCAATGGTTTTTGCCTCTAAACTAAAATATAGGAAACCTATAACCCACAAAATGTTTTCTAGAAGTAATATAGTCTACCAACAGAACAATATAACTTAGGTTGGAGCAAGGGATTTCTAAAGCAGATGCTGAGCTTTTCTCTGGCCCACTAATCTAATAGTACACATGCCTCGGGTGGATGTCTGTTGTCCCCCCCTTTTCCTCCCCCTAGTTGTGTTTTAAATTAGTCTCCGGGAAGTTTCAGTGGGAGGAAAATAACTATGCCAGCCACTAAACTGGCGTTATTTCTTTAAAAAATAGCTTTTTGAAAGGTAAGAAGCAAAAGGTTTTAAAATCTCTACTTCAGCTGAGATGGCAATGGCGGTGATGTACAGGAAATGTAATTAACCAGTGTTTTGATAAATAAGCATTTGCATTGTGGCACTTCATTTTGACTCCCTGTGTGATTGCGTCCTAATATGCATAAAATGCTGTGTATACACTCATAATTAAGCATCCATTTCAAGAACAGTTCTTTCGCCTTTTTTGGAATTTTTTCAATATGAAATCTCAAGGACTTGAGCTATTATTGTTTTCTTTTAAGGAAGATTAATAATTAACCTATCTTTTCCTGATATCTGATTATTATTACTTTTGCAATGTTTTCTCTTTGCAAAGACTTTTTAAACTATTCTTCTAATAATTTTCAGCCTTACTTCCTGTAATACTCGACTACATAAAGCTGACAATCAACTATGGGATTCAGTACATCTCAATCTAGGGGCAGTGTATGAATTTATCAAGCAGTTTATGCATCCACTTCATGGCTTTCCTTTTTATGAAAGATGTCATATTTCCACAGAATGAAGCTTGGGACAATACTCCCTAACTTTGTAACTTGTTTAATCAAAATTAACCAGAAGGATAATTGTAACTTGACCTAGGACCTAGGTGTCTAGATTCCTGATTAAAACTCTTAATTATATTTTATTAGATTCACGTTGGGCAAAACATGGCACTGAGCCTGAAAATGGCCACATTGCTGTAAAGAAGCAAAAGTATACCATTCCCTCTCTGAGCTATATCAAACATTTATCTGTAGAAATATGGATGTCAAACATAAAGACAAAGAAGATCTAAATACTGCTATTGTTTTTCTGTTCGTACCAGTAACCTTTCCTGCCACATTTCAAGCACAAAATAACAAGCTAGACTCATAGATCTAAATCTGTTTCTGGCTAGCTCTAAACTTTGCAGTTGAGATAACATGTAGGTAATTCTATTCCTGCTTTCTTTTTTTAATCATTGGGTGTGAGAAGATATATTGGAGAGAGAAAGAAAAGATAAAATATCCTCTCCCCAAATGACACATTTTTGTTGCAGCTCCTGAGAACTGTGAAAAGAATCTGTTAGTTTGATCCTAAGTTGCTACAGCAATAACTTCACTTAACTTCTCTTGGCCGGTAAAGACCTAAAGAAAAATCACAAGACATTCTTATTATATCATCTATATTTTTCTAAGTTATGTAACTTAAGTGTTTTGCATTGAAGTCAGATGAATACTGAGGAAAGCTATGGACTATTGTTTCAACTCTACATTTTGTCATTCAATTGACAACTTGAATCAGCATGACTTCCTTTGCTGCCTACTGAGTAAATGTGCTTGGAGTGACAAATCATAACACCTTCCCATGACTTAATACAAAATGTAGCTGTGTGGCTCGACACAGATTACAGAATACTGTAGTTCACACCTCCACACTGGTGAATTGGAAAGAATAAATTGCCATTGTGTGGGTTTATGATCTATTTTTTATTTAATAAGTCTGTATGCCACTGAACCACAGCAATTAGTTTACCCTTAAATAGCCTACAGGATTTGTATTCTTTGCAGGGAAATATAATATATTTCTAGAATGTTAATATTTATGAATTTACCTAAGTTTGTTAGCTGGACCAAGATTTCTCATTAGTCTTTTGTACAAAAGAGACTACCTTTTTTTTTTTTAATAATATGGAAGGTGTTCTGTAACCTAGGCTCCATCTTTTTATAACTAATTCTCATGACCACTGATTAGGTGCTTCTTGTGTCATGAAATGTTACTATTAGAAAGCTGGCCTTAGGACTTGCTCTAATGTTGAATACCGCTATTACTATCTCTTCCACGAAACTGATATTTATATTCAGAATTATAAAAATTGAATATTCATTTGGAGAATAATAGAAAGAATTTCAGTTCTAATTATATTTGATTGTGAAGGTTTTCCCTACCAATTAGATAGAATCATTTGGTACAGTATGTTGATCTTACATATATTCTTCTCCTTGGTAGTTTAGAAACCTTAGAAATATTACCTAAGGCCTGTTCTTCTGAAGCCATCATTATATTCTATCTGTATCTCCTCCTGGTTGACTCCTGGCAACTGTCTGAACTACTGTTGTCCCTGCCATTTTCTTAGCAAGATTTTCAGAAATAGTTTGCCACTGCCCATTTCCTAGGGCTGTGAGAAAATGATTCACCCAAGGTCACCCATTTGGTTTTATTCCTAAAGTCTTTAAACTCAGTATTCATATTTTTGTCCTGATGTCTTAATTACTTAGATTTGTATGGTTATAGCTCACAGTCAATGATGTTTCACTTTATTTTTTGATGAAGGATTATCCCTTTCAATCCTTTTCATATTCCTAGCTGTTTAATTCAAATGAACTGACCACACACATTGTGTTATAATGATGGAGGTGATTTCAGACCCAGATTTGGGCTTGGAACAATTGGAGCCACATCAAGATAAGAAAGGAACTAAAACATACAACTAGAAAAGCTGGGAGCAGAATCTGATATTGACAGGCCAAGCAGTATGTCATGTTTTTATTTGATCTTTTTTTTTATTAGCTTCAGTTTTATACTACCTGACAACTGCAAAGGCTGACAAGGCACATTCCTATTCTTTCTGTGCCTAAGGGTGATATCATTCTGAAGTCTTTTGTCATATTGTTTTGGTATCCCTTTGGATGCTTTACCAAGAACATAGTTCAGAGCATGTACAAAGAAGAAAGCAACGTTGGACATGAGGCTAAGTCACAATTTGATTGCACATTTCTAGATCCATCATACACCTTGATATTTTGCATTTTAAGGATTATGTGGAGATATTTTTCTCTACCGTCTTGCATACTGCAGTCTTAGTGCCTCCTACAGCATAAGGGAATAGTTATTCATACAGAGACCAACTCTAAAACACTGTCAGCTTGGCATTCTGTTGTGAATTGGACATGTATAGATTCTAATGCTTTGAGACCCTGGGTGCTATACTGTAACTCTCTTCATGGGTCAGCTTGTTCTGTCCTTAAATGCTCTGCAGCTTAAAGCATATAAAATAGAAGAGATGACCTTATAAGGGATTAATTTGTCACATGTTTCAAATATTTGAGTCCTGCTAGTATACATCAAAGGACAAAATAGTCTTAATTGCTTCTCAAGTACAAAGTGAAAATGAGGATGAAAGATCTCATCTATCCTCGGCCTAAAAGTGTTTAAAGCAATGCCCTTGAAAGTGATATCAGTAATTGAATTTTATTGGCCCTGTAGTTCCATCAGGTTTTTGCAATATTACTCAATAACTGGTTAAAGGCATCTGTAAAATACTGCAACATCTCAGATACTTTTTATTTCTCAGTTCTTTCTGGGTAAGCTTCAGGTTTCACAAAAACAGCATTCATTGACCATAACATTATTATAGTTGGTTGCATGGTCAGCCAGATAATAATAATAATAATATTTACTATTATTATTATACAAATAATAGCAAATTGCTATTAAATATTTTTAAATAAAAATATACCAATGAAAAGATTCCACCATGATTTCAGCAGCATGTCAGGCTGTGATTTTTTATAAACATATACTTATGATTATTTTTTTTTGCATTTTTTTTAATGCTTCTGGAAAGTTTATGACAAAGGTAAGAGATTTCTTTAAATGTTTTATGTTCTGAAGATACTACAGTTGATGCAGATCTGGCAAATGCAGGGGATTCAGGAAAAACAGCAAACAATTTCATATTGTACTTAATGTCTGTGAGAGGAAAAGGAAATGGAGAGAGATGATCCATGGGTCATGACATCATCATACATACGATATTGTAGTTTGAGATATTGGCTTGTTACCAATGCTGCATTTTTTGCCTCTTTGCCATATAAAGGTTGATATTTTAAAAACAAAGTTAAAAAACAGAAAGTTAGACCATATCATTCCCATCTAGTCAGTCAATATGTTATAAAGCATGCTTTTGATTTCTTGCAATCTTTCATTTTGGAATGAACTCTATTACTTCATTCTTGTGTGTCTCTGTATGGGAATGTCATTGAGAGGAAAAAAATAATACTGGAAAGGTCAGTCATTTGGGATCAATACCTTTCGAGAACTTTAATGTCTATGTTCTACTGGGATAGATAAGCATCATGCTAAATTTAAATTATGATTAATGGATCTATAATCAATTTTCACTGTATGTTCTTTCATTTGTACTAATACAATTTTACAAAGAGGGATGGGATACACACATCAAATTTCTCTGCTGATTAGCTAACACAATTTTGATAGCTCCTTCCAACATCATCTCAAATCTTCTGGCTTATTTTGTAGTGCAATTATTATACCTCCATGCATATATGGCACTTGACCTTGAGCCATATATACAGTTTCAGATTTGGTAATTGATCTAATTGGAATTCTTTCCCCACAAAATGATATGTCTATTGCTATTACTATATAACTCTAAGCCTAAACAAAGTTCTCATCAGACTTCCAGGTGGGCTGTTTTTTCTTTCTTAAATAAATACTTATACTAAGCCTACCTTACTCAACCTTTCAAATCTACTTTTTTTTAAAAAAGAATTTGATGTAAAGGGCAATATATCTGGGGAAGCTGTTAGAACATGATGTTCTCTCTATCTTAAAATACTTCCCAGATATAATGAGATAGGATTTCTGGATGCAGGTACTTTCTAGTTTTCTATACATAGAATTTTATTTTATATATAATGTTTAATTCTCAGCTTCTGCATCATTTATTCTATAGGCAGCGCAAGGAGGTGGTCACAGAACCCTGCTGTATGGCCATGCGATTCTGCTTCGGCATTCTTTCAGTGGAATGGTAAGAGAGATGGAGAGATGGAGAGAAGAAAGTGCAACAAAATGAAACTAATAAAATATTTGTTGGAGCTCAGTGCCCTTCCAATGCTCCCCAAACTGGGATGAAAGTTCCAAGTCACAGCACACTCTTCTCCTGAGACAGAATAAATAAATAATTCCTCTCAACCAGGGACTCTAGAGGGCATAGGGGATAGCTTTGAAGGACAGTGGGATATCCATTGCAAAGGGAACAGTCGGACAAGCATGGGTTGAACCCAATCTAAGAGATGAATTAAAGAAACCATCTCAGCAGGTCCCTTCCTCATTCATATGAAGGTAACATGAAGGAGGAGAGATGCACAATCAGAACTTCAAGACTGTTGCTGTACGGTGGGTATTTTAATAAGGGATAGTTTGAGACTCTTATTGGTACAGTTTTCAGACTTCTCAATTGATATGGCCAATTTTGAGAAGTCCAGAACAGTTTCAAATTCAAAAAGTCTGAAGGGTAGTCTCATTGTAATAGTGCTCAGTGTATAATTGATTAATTAATTAAATTTGTGCCACCTATCTCACCACTGAGTGACATTGCACAGCTATATTTACTGCACAAACTATTTTAAATTTGTAGCTTTGATACCATTTATTGAATTCCACCTTTCCTATTTTTAAAAAATTAAAAGGTTTTTTAAATAAAATGGTTTAAATCTTAAATTCTTTATGAAAGTCAGCGATAGAAGTTAAATTGACATTAATAAACATTCAAATTGATATCTATTCATTCCAGTGCAAAAGAATTTGAAACATTGTCATGTTATTCAAGAGAACAGTGGGCTCATATCTCTCAATTCAGATCCAAGGTTTCATTGAGACACACTTAAACAAAATGATTTGAAGGGTCTTACTAACTTTAAAATGTTTTTCAGTATTTGACATGTTTAACAACATCAAGATCTCAGACAGATAAGCTCGCCTTTGATGTGGGCCTACAGGAAAATGCAATAGGTACGTATGCAATATCAAATAAAATATCACCTTAGGTTAAAAGGTCTAAAACATCTGTAATTTGTTTGTGAAATCTAGTTCATCAGTCATGTAAGGTTGAAATAATTTTAAGGGTTGATGTAGCTTCAAGTTTTGGCTGCCTGCCTAGAACTGCCAAAAGCAGAATAATTATTCAGTCCTTGGCAAATTACAATATATGATTACTATCCTGTTATGCATTCATGTGATATTCATGTACCTATAGTGAGAGATACCAATAGTCTCTTATTGTGTTACACAAAATTATTCTGAAATAAATATATGAATTGCAGTTAGGGAAACAAACTACAGTTAGGTGAACATGAATACTGATAATCCTTGTTCTTATCCATGGAGAAGATGAAAAAAATATATTACTCATTGCTGCATGCAGAGAAAGCCTTAATGAAAACAAAAGCCTATTGAGCTTAAAATTGTAATTATCTATGTTTAAATATGTGCCACATTTAATTGTATATACTAGGTTTGGAAAGGCAATTGTGGCAAGCTATATCTTGACTTCCACAGTATACATACATGTATTTTAGCAGGCTCATTGCAGAAACCTAAGCAGAACATCCATATGATAGGAATCTTGTAGAGAATTTACTTCCAACCATCTATGGAGAACTTTCACCTTCATTGTGCAGTTATCCATTCATTGTCTCTGTCAAAACGCATCCTTCGCTCCAGCTCTACTTCCCTAGATGCCTTCCATAAACTACGGGATGAGGGAGTTGGAGGGATGGGAAACCAAAACTAAAGTTAGTGCCATCCCAAGACATTGGCTGATCACTCAAAGGTCACAGGCTTGGGAAATGAAATGTAACACCAACTCAACATCTAGCCTGCCTTTTCAGGGACAGTTACCAAAACAACTTCTTTGAATAAGACTGGACAAACGTGAAATAGTCGGCAGTGGAACGAGAAAAGGAAAGTTATCTGGGATACTTTTGCATGCAAAATCTCAGTTCTGGCTTTTGTTTTACTGTAACCACTTTACTTTTAGTAAAAGTTGAGAGTTTTGCTTTCCTAGAAGACCAAGGTGGGGCAGGGCTGATAGTCTCACTGTCTGGTTTAATCATTGGCAGTTTTCAAATGGAGGAGTCTAAGAATTTGGTGGATATGTTTTCATATTTTTAGATAGCCTGAACTTGCTTGAAATGGTCTGATACTTTTTTCCTCAGATGTAATTTGGGCACTTCTGCTTACTATAGGTGAAGCATGCTGGTGGACCATACGCCCTGCTTCTAAACAAAGGTCAGAAGGAGAAAAAGTACGGATTGGAGATGATCTTATTCTAGTTAGCGTGTCCTCAGAAAGATACCTGGTAAGCAGAAGTATTCATAATAACTTTAATGTAACTGATTAATGCTTTTGTTGATTTTAGCCTTCTTTTTGCCTAGTTATAAGCATACCTTTTTCCTCTGCATGCATTTTCATAGAATTATGATCAGAAAATCTTTAGAAAAATCTGAGTTTGGTGGGAAAACCATCCTTGTTGATGCTTTACTATACTTCAAGAAGAGTCTGGGAAGAATGGATAAGTCTGAGACCCTTAAAGAGGGATTGTGAAAAACAAACTTTAGTTTATGTTGAGATAAATTGACGTAATAAATTATTAAATCTCTTTTAATAAAATGCTCCCAGAATGTAATAGCAGAGATAAGAAATAATGCAGAAGAAAATCAAAGACTCTTGAGAATAGTAAAATTTCTTCTTCTTTAATATTACATAAGCTTTAGCTTTAAAAAAAGAAGTAGAATTCTACTTATACATCAATTTACCCAATATTGCAATTAGTTTCCTCCCCTAAAGCTTATAAACCCCAAGATGTAAAAGTTAAAGGCTTTATTTTTACACTTTGCAATAACAATAATAGTTTTCTTGTGTTTTCACTTTTTCTCTTTGCAGCACCTTTCTGTGGCATATGGAAACACACAAGTAGATGCTTCCTTTATGCAAACACTCTGGAATGTGCACCCCACTTGTTCAGGAAGCAAGATTGAAGAAGGTTTGCTCAGTTATGGTTATGCTACTAGTTGAAGTTACTACTTATTTGCAAGTGTGCACTGTAATTTCTACAGCTAAAAATATATTGTAGTTGCTCTTCAGATTTTAAGGGCTTTGAGTTTTGTATAGTTTCCAATGACAAATCTATTCTAGCCTAATCCTCGCAGAATATTTAGATTCCTGAACTAAAGCAAAGAAGACTATGCATAGTTTATTCTGACTTTACTTACAATGTGAAGATGTACTATAGAACTTCCTGGCTGGCTTGAGCAAGGAAAGAATAGAACCATGAAAAAGAACTTATAGTTCGTTACAAATGAGGTGAAAGAAAGCTTCACATCCCTCCCAGATTCATTTTGACATGGAGATTACTACGTAGAGTATGTGCTTTGAAAGTATTGATTTTTCACTGAAATCAGGTGTCATTTCCCCTTACTGACCTCAGTAAATAGTGTATGTGACTATCTGGGTAGATTCCCAATGTCATCACTTTGTGTAGGGTACCTAATGAATTTTAAGATTCTTTGATTATGCCTTAACTTTTAATTTTTATTCCTCCCAATAAGAACTATTTCATAAGAGAAAGCAGGTCTTTTCTATTTCCCACTTTCAGGTCAGAGAAATGTATGCCTATCAAAGGACAGTATGTACAATAATTTCTGGTAATGTTATGACATTTTGGATCAAACTGATATATAAAACTTACTTCCTTAATTCCAGGCTGTTCCTCTGAAAACTCAATAGGCACCCATACTCCCATATGCCCTTTATCACATTTAGTAAGCGATTGGTGGAAAGGTGAATGGACGGCATACAATATTTTGCATTTTACATGTCAACATTCAGCATTTAAATAATGTATTTGAAATCAATGAATGGAAACTCAGGGTTGACTAAAAGTGGAAGGAAAAGTGGATACGTCTCATAGATCATTGCCAGCAACATAACATTAATAATATAATTATGAATAATGGAAAAATTTAACAAGTTATTAGATACTGTATGAAGAATAATGCACCAATAAGTTTTTAGCATACAGTTTTGCCAGAAGATTAAAAACAGTAATGCATAACATATTTATAACAATGCCTAAAGACAGTTTGTATTTGCAATACTCATATGATGGCTTGGGGAAAAAGTGAACATTTTTAGCAAGTCTTGGAACACTCTACTGCAATTGGGGATTTGAGGAAAGAGCCAGAAGGAAAAAGGGAAATCAGGAGATGTTGTGAAAGATTGGAAAATGTTGTGTATATTGAAAAAAAGAGTTCTCCCTAAGACTTGTTAGAAACTTCCATTCCATTCATCTAAAAGATACCCAGCTTATTAGTGCGAATATTTTATTGTTTGGCCATCAATTGCATTTTGTATTGCAATTACATTTTTTCATGTTGTAATGTTTCTCTACATAAAAAACTAAAAACCTTTTAGCAAAAAGAAGTGGGGGCAAGAGGGAAAGAGGGAAAAAAAGAAAAGACAAAAAGGGAGATAGGAGGGAGATGTGACGACCACTGTATGCATTCTTCTTATAAATGACTAAAAATAGTGCCAAAGAAATCAGATCCTTTGACAATGTTCTATTTTCAAATGGAAAGCACCTGCTCTTTTTTAATCCCAGTATGAGTGAAATGTGAAAGCTTTTGCTTCAGAAAGGTTTGCAAAATGTCACCTTTCAACTTGATTCTGACGCTTTCATCACACCCAGAAGCCGATTTCCTCTGCTTCTTCTTCTTCTTCTTCTTTTGGCTTCCTTTGTGTTGAAGTCAAGCCTCATTCTGATAAATTCATATGTGCTTTGAGAATTTTTTTTTTTTTGCTAATCCTCATATGGCTTTTGTTCTGCATAGGTTTTCCCAATGCAAAACTGTGTGGGACCCAATATGATTCCATGAACTTAGGGGAATTTGCCTGAAACAGTCTGAAAACCTCTGAGAAGTTGCATGGTCTAGTGTTGGGCTTGAATTTCTAATTAGTTTAGTGTTTTGTGTTGACAGCATTATATTCAGATCTGTATTCTTATGTAACATTTGTTTCCAATACATATTAATGGGATTGTTATTCAGCAAGTGAATTTAGAGCAATTTCACCCAGAGATACTGATGAATCATTTTCCTCTTATTTGCAACAAGACAATGCCTTCATTTATCCTGGCCTTTCAAGGTTTAATGGGTTGGAAATGTATGTTCCATTAAAATGTAAATCTATAGAAAAGCCAAGCTTTTTACCTTTCCCTGTTCACCTCTTACCTTATGCAGTATTGATTTTATACAAAGGATTAATTTGATGGAATAGAAATAGTGTCACTTATCAGTCAACAACAATTTGTGCTTGCTTTTTTGGTGGTTTATCATGTACCATTGCCATACACTTAACATTTTTCTATTGCATTTATACATTACAAAGTAACATTTCCAGATTGCTTTAGTTTTTACCAGCCAATTCTCTACCAGAAGAACACAAGACTATAGTGTTCCCTCAAAGTTTCTTCTGCTTTCCAGGCGTGTATTGCTTAGGATTTTAGAAATCTCTTAACACCATTAATATAGTTATCTTCTCTGCATTTATCTAGTCTTCTTTTTAAAGCGTCTAGGAAATTCGCTGTTGTAATAGCACATAGTCTATAAATGATACCTATTATGAAGCGATCTTTACTTTCTGTGTTTCAGAACTGCTGCTCCAAGTTATACACATATCTACAAACATAAACAAACATAAATCACTCATATGTCATCTTTCCTACTTAGAAAAAAGAAGCCACATTCGTCTTGTTCTTTAACAAAATGGTTTGTTTTTTTTAAGTCACCATCACCTTTTCTCCTGGATTCCTTCATTTGGCTTTATTTGTCAGTTGAGACCTTGGAATATGCCACTTGGCCAGATCTTATTGAGCATCAGGGACAATTGGGAGTAAGCAAGTCCCTTAGATAGCTAAGCCCTATTCAAGTGATGACAAACGTTTTTGGCACCGAGTGCCCAAACCTGAACGCAACTGACCAATTGGGCAGTGTGCAGGTGCCTATTTTTGGGGCGTTTTCAGGCCGTTTTCAGGTTGTTTTCAGACCATTTTTGGCTTGAAGAACTACGTGAAATTATACCCACAAAGAGGGCTTTGCGTGCTACCTTTGGCACACGTGCTATATGTTCGCCATCCCGGCCCTGTGCCATGCAGATCTTCCTAAACAAGCTTGAATTATACCAGCAGCTTATGGGTAACCAGTGCAGTTTGCATAACAGAAACGTTACATGAGCATACCAAAGTATATACCTTGTCTGCAACATGTATTCTGAATCAGCTACAGCTTTTGAACGGTCATCTAGGGAGGTCGCATGCAGACTATATTACAGAGATGAGTAAGGCACAAATGAATGTGAAGGGGGGGAAAAAACCTCCACCCAGGAAGGAACACAATTGGAATATTAGATGAATTTGAATAAAAGCTCTCCTGGCTATAGATAGGTCTGCGTTTTGAGCAGGAGTTGTGTGTCCAGGAGGACTTTCAGATTGTACACCAGTTCTGTCTGGGGGATGTGTATTCATTCAGAACTATAGATAAACAATCCATTGTTCAGGAGGAACCCGGAATGCACTGTCTTGTCATAGTTGAGTTCAAGATTGTTCTCCTCCCATTTCATAATCCAACAGCCCTCAGGTGCTGAGACAAACCTCAACAACATCTCTTGATATACCTGAGGTCAAGATATACAACCGGGTATCCTCAATGTACCTAATGGTAACTGATTCTGCAGTCTCCGATACATGTTAAACAAGAGAGAAAAAGTCTTTGTCCTGTTGTATTAAATAGAAGTATCTCTTGAAGCAGGAAGAGAATTACTACAATACCATTGTCTCCTACTATTAGTCAGTAAATCAAGCAGGATACCATGATCAATGGTAGGAAACATTGCTTGTTATTTGTTATATGAAAGTCATGCATTCAAGTAATATTGTAGTATAGTGCTTTATTCAAAATGTTTCATATACATTTGGGGCTCTTTCACATGGGTTGTTAGCACTAAATCTGTAATTATCATACCGTCTTGTTTAGCAGCTGAACAGATTTGCAATGAAATCTTTTGAGGTAGGCAGGGTTCTGTTTTCAGTAATGATACTCTTCAAAGTTGATGAATAGTGGCATTGACAGAAATCTATAATATGCCAACACCAGCATGGTGACGCAATATTGCATATGTTGTAATTACGTACTTTCATCCTGACCTCTGACACAAATATGTGTGTCACCATTTACATCAGGGGTGGGTTTCAAAACTTTTTACTTTTGGTTCTGTGGGTGTGGCTAGATGGAGGGGCATGTGACTGATTGGGTGTGGCTAACTTGACATCACTCATGCCCATGTCCACTCAGTCATGTGTTCACCACTAGCCACACCCACAGAACCAGCAAAAGTTTCTGTTTTGCCAGCAGGGAGGCTGGCAAAGAAGCTTCACTTTCCCCACCACCATGGCTCTCATAGTAAGGAGGCAGGTATGCTGGTCCAGGGCTCGCTTCCCTTATCACTCGCTGCTGCCTGCCCGCTTGCCGTGTTCCCAGGAAGGGCCTCAAGAAGCTTTGCTGAGCCATCCCAGAGCTGTGCAGAGGCTTCCCTGACCCAGCACTCACATGATAGGCTCAGGCAGCATCTTCTGGGGCTTTTAGGTGAGGGCTTTGCCCCCTGGACAGCCTTTTCAGGAGCATCGCAACTCAGCCTCACCCAGCCTGGCTCCCTTCTGAACTTAGGAAGCGGTGCTTCGCACCCAGCACACCGCAGAAACCCAGACTGGGGCACTTTGTGCGGGTTTGGCTGCAGGAAGACCCTGGCGCCAATTTCTTCAAGCAGGGATCCCCTCAAGTGGGGCCCAAACTGATAATGGGATGGATGGGGGGGCCTCTGACCACCTCCCATCCCGGGGAGCTGCTGCATGCCATTGCAGGTGCCCAGGGCAGCCTCGACCACCACCTTCTTGCCGCCTTCAGCCCCATGCAACTTCTCTGTCACCTCACCGACCTGGGGACACTCTGGCTCCACTGGGCAGCCACTCCTTTGCCAGTTGCAGTTGGCCCTTCGGCAGCCCTGCTTCCTCCTGGTGCCCCTTCCTGGCCAAGAGACCCTCCGGGGCAGCTTCACCACTCTGGCCATGTCTGGGCGGATGCTGGATCTCCAGTGTGATCTACCACATAAAAGAAAGTACATTTCTCGAGGCTGGATTTGTACTTTTCAAAATATATTTTATATACCATAAAGGATACTTCAATTTCATCCCAGTGTGGTCCAACTTCGACCTTCTCAAGATGGCAGTGCAAAACATAAGGGCAGAAGTCACCCAGGTTTCTGTTAAAAGGGGCGCTCCAAAGCTTTGCCACCACTGAGATGGCTCAAGTATTTCCTTGGTCGGCGGTACCACTTCTGGGTTGTGCAGGGTCTCGATTCCTCCCTCTCTCTGGCAATGGCCGCAGCGGGGTTATCTGATGCAGAGCTGCAGGCAGAGATGCTGGCCCTGGGCTACCAGCTGGAGCCAATTATTGATTCCACCCAAAAACTTTATGTCAGCATCTCTTGCGGCTGTGCCCTTCCCTAACCATCCACATGGAGCCTCTGCCAGTGGTGCGCTTCCCATTTTGCATTGCTTTTCCTGCCACTGTGGCTCTCAGAGGAAGGAGGCAAGGATGTTTTGCCTGGGGCTCACTACCGTTTGCCACTGCTGCCCCTGTGTTGGAGACTGGACTGGGCCCAGCCGCCCGGCCACTTGCCCACTCACTCACCGCTTTTCTGGCTGGCTGCCCAGCTGCCAAGACAGGGCCCGAGCTGGCAGAGAGGGGGATGCAGTTCCTTGGCTTGTCCCGGCTGCCGCTGAGTCCATTGCCCTCTACTCCCACCGCCACCCTCTCCAGCATGCGAAGCTTGCCAGTCTGCAATGATGTGGCAACTTTGGGAGACGCTGGCTGGTGGGGAGGGGGGGGCTAGGCTAGCGCAAATGCTGCTTACCTGTGTGTAGGCAGGAGGAGGCGGTTGTGTGGATGCATGTGGTGAAGGTGAGGCAGGAAGGGCATCTGGTTTGGGGACATGGCCAGCCAACCGTCACTACCAGTTTGGCAACCCATGCCCAATTACCATTACCAGTTCTCCCTAACCAGTCCGAACCGGGAGTAATCCACCTCTAATTTACATGATAATACCAACACACATGATTCATCATTTCCTCTCCTTGAAGCTGCCCATGACAAGTAAGATTATATGATGGTGGACCACCATGATTATGATTACTTATGATTATAATTGGTCTATTTTCTAGTTGGTGAGAACTCTTATCTCACTCTCTACAGCCTGACTTCAGTTGACACTGCATTTTGTTTTCCAATTGTTAAATTGGATTGGTAGCTTCGTCATCTCAAAAATCCCTTTTCTTTGCCCACTTCCTTTCACAACAGTAACTATTCCAACATCTACTTGGATATTTTTTGTATGACTTGAATTATATGGCATCCTGTTGATTCTAATTTAAAATGCAGTCAATATCAACTTGACTTCTTTTGATTTACAGATTCTTGCAGTAGTTACCAGCAATAGGGTGAATTTGACAAACATTTAGTCTCTCCCTTCCCCTCAGGAGACCTCAGGTTGTACAAAATGTCAAATTAATGCTGACATTTTTTCCCCCAAGAGATTTCCTTATGGATGGAATATTGGCAATTTTTATTTCCTTTTTGTAGGAAGTAGGTATTAAACAAATTTCAATTATATCCATTTCATTTTATGTTCAATACAGTACAATATGTACATATTGCATCAAATAATCTGTTTTTGGAACCAATTCTTTGAAACCACCTTATTACAATTAAAACATACAGTAGATCAAGTAGATTTGTTGAGCCCATGTGAAAATATATGTGGCTAATAAAAAGCAGCAACAAAAACATCTGAACTATTCCTGGGGAAATGATCACAGGAATTAAACATCAGTAAATTTTATTCCTGTTATTTTATAGGTGATTTGCTTAAGACATATTGGTAGACTCGCAACTGAGCGGGCATTGGAAAGAGAAAATAACCTACACCTTTTAGATACTAATGCAAGGTAGATATACTTCCATTTCCAGATACATATTGTTAAAATGCTGTCCAAGTTAATTATTTTCTCTTCCTCTAGGATACCTACTTGGTGGTCACGTATTACGTTTGTTCCATGGCCATGATGAATGTTTGACCATTGCATCTACAGAACAGAATGATTCCCCACATAAGTGAGTTGCGCTACAGATTATGCATATTTTCCATCTTTAATTTCAGATGTAAATCCAAACAGTCTTCATTCTAAACAATGAACAAGCATTTGTGGCACATGACAAATATCAGATTGATTTTTGTTGCCATTCTTCTGTTGATGTAAAATAATCCAGACTTTTCCTATAATTATATCTAGCCAGTATAATTCAAGTTAGAGGCACTAATATAACTGGCATCTCTCCCATCCATCCATCCACCCACCCACCCATCCATCCATCCATCTATCTATCTATCATCTATCTCTGTCCTAAAAAAAGCATGAATTAGCATCACGTGGTCCAATTAAATATATAAAAAATGTTTCCCATTATTTACTCACCACTACATTCTATAGGCATGTTTTTCATAAGTAAGAACCTTCAAGTATCCTTAAAATAACATCACTGTTTACTGTTAAAAGATGAGAATACTTGGCATTGAAGATTAGCACTGTTGGTCCTGTATCAATAGTCACATCACATGCCAAGTGCCCTCTGGCTACGCTGCATCTTGTCCTTGTTGCTTGTTCAACTGTCTGTAAAGATATGAACATAATAGCAGTGAGGCAAAACAGCTGCATCTTGCCCTTTTTGTGTGAGAAATAAAGCAAATAGAATAAAGCACTGATGGAAGCAAAGGGAAAGTTAGCAAAGGGCATTGTGTGACAGACATAAAAAAAAAACTGGAGCAAATATTTATAGTTAACTGCTATTGCAAACTAAGATTGTTTAATTTTAGATAAGTGGTATTTGCCAATTTGTAGTTGCTGCATTTCAAAATTGTACCTAGCAGAATTATATATAATATTGTGTTCCACAAACTTTGCAAAGGACAATCAGCTAAAAGTTCAGATTTCGAAACTAAAAAACAGTTTACCTTCTGCATGTTGATTAATAACTGAAGATGTATTTAATCTTGATGGAATGGATGAAAATATGCTTAGGTAAGATCAAACGGTCTTACTGACTCTTCCTAGCTTTGTCATGAAAACTCCTGAGCAGATGGTTGGTCTCCCTGTTGGGATGTCTATCTGGTTTGTTTGGCTATGACAAGATGTCTGTTGATGGCATAATTGAAAGCATAACTGGATCAGTTCTGTCTTTACTGATATAGCACAACTTTGATCACGAATAAGGTTTCTTGTATTTGGGAAGAGTTTTATACTATATGACTGTATGTTCTATGTAGCTTCCTGACAGGTTTGGCCTGGGGCTATTTCTCAGCGTCTTTGGGAATGAAATGGAGTTGTGATTATTGGCTCCTGAAGTAGAAGAGGTGGTGGGATGGATTTATTGTGATTATGGATGCTTATTGTGCAGAATGTGTAGGGTTTTATTTACCAATGGTATTATTATTATTTATATTGTTATTATTTGCTGTTTTAATCTTAGTTACTAGAAGAAAGAATTATAGACTGTTCAGAGTCTGGTCAACTAGAGTTGCACAGAGTCTAAATAAACAAACAAAACCCTTAATAAAATGGATTTTATTTTGGAAATGTGCATTGTTTTATTCTTTTTCACACATTTTTCAGTGTTGCATTAAAAAATCTTGTACAATTGTAAAAGATTACAAAGGCAATTTCACGGGGAAAAGTGCCAACATAAAAGGATAATATGATTAACCTTAATTCTAAAATCACCATGTTTCTCCTAAATATCTGATCATTAAAATCTGGAAACGAATGGGAATATCAATGATTTCAAATGCTTTATTAATAAAAAAGAATTTGAGGTTTAGGCGATTCATGTCCCACTGCACTCCTAATTTCTTAAATAAGATTACAAGAGATCCAGTTTCGATTTATTAATGATTGAATTATTTTACAGTTGTTCAGTTTATATAGCAAAATCTAATTCTGAATCTTACTGAAAGAAGTTGTCAATTATTACAGAAAAAGCTTCAACTTCCAAATGCTGTGTATATTTCAGTCACAGATTATAATTCTGCATACATTTAATAATGCTAAATCTCCCATGCAGTGCATCTCAGTATGTGTAATCTTTTTCTAGGAGGGTCTTTTATGAAGCTGGGGGAGCTGGAGTCCGTGCAAGATCACTATGGAGAGTAGAACCTCTTCGAATAAGGTGTTGTGATTTTACGTTATATTCCTGGTTTTTGCATTATGCTGTCCTATATAATAGAATATACAGTATTTTGGACTGGGAAATCCAGCAGACTTTCTTGTCTACCAATTTACAGATTGATAGGCAGAAATCAGAAAGAAATTTGCTACTTCCTATTTTTGTTATGTAGTATTTCTTTTTAGACTTAAATATTTCAGTTGCTCCAATTTTCTCCTTTTAAATTCCTTATTTTATTCTCACCAAGCCTCCTTGTGGATGCTCCTTTCCAACACTGAGGTATCCAATATTAGGAAAATCATCCCGAGTGGCCAGAATGACAGACAGAAATGGGTTTATTTGTTTGTTGCAATTGGATCCTTCCTTAAAAGTTGACCTATGTTGATTGTGTGTGTGTATTATGTCTTATGGGATGCTGTTTCGGGGCCATAGGATTAAAGCCTTAGAGATAACTACTGAATTTAGATGGTAGGTTAATGATGACCCTGAAAGTTACTAACAGTTTGCACCTCAATTTCTGAAGGAAAAGAAAAATGGAAGGCACTTAACATGGTATGAAATAAGCATAGAAAATTCCAACTATCTAGGAAAATAATGAATGTGAATGCGAGTTAATTTGTAATACTGTTATGAGACTTTGTTGAATTTATTAAAAGATGCCCCTAAGAAAGATTCTGGGTTGAAATAAATTAAAGTTTAATCAAATAAAATAAATAAATGAAAGCTTTTTTTTCACTTTACTGATAGAATTAAGCCTGCACTTAGTGCATGAAAATGAATATCTCCTAAATATAGAATAGAATAGAATAGAATAACAGAGTTGGAAGAGACCTTGTAGGTCATCTAGTCCAACTCCTTGCCTAAGCAGGAGATCCTATACCGTTTCTGACAGATGGCTGTCCAGTCTCTCCTTGAAAGCTTCCAGTGATGAAGCACCACAACTTCTGTTCCATTGGTAAATAAATACATAGGTAAATAAATACTTAGAATAGTCCATGTAAACCATAAACTAAATGTTCTTTAAACAATTTTTAAGCTGGAGTGGAAGTTATATTCGCTGGGGACAACCATTTCGCCTTCGACATATTACAACAGGACAGTTTTTAGCACTGACAGAAGACCTGGGTCTTGTTTTGTTAGACAGAGAAAAGGCTGACACAAAATCAACTTCCTTTTGTTTTAGAGCATCCAAGGTAAGTAATATTTTTACATTAAATTAATGTGGAAAGAACACAAATACTCTACCTAAATCAAGTCTATCACATAGCAGAAATGAATAAATGTCAACAAATTTCGCTGAAGAAAATATTATGTTGGGAGAACATAAAACTGCTCAAAGAAAATTTAGACATCAAAGAAGATTTAGGGACACCTCACTGATGTATCTGTTTGCTCTCTAAATTGACTTGTTGCACCTTTCAGTTTATTATGATTGAATTTCACCTACTTTTTGCACATCTACATTTTTTTTTTGTTTTTTTGTATAAAGTTTTTTTTCCATTTCGTAACATATAACCATATGTATACTATTACACAGCCAACATCATATTATATTATTAAATGTTTACATCAATTCATCTTACCTTCAACTCCCCAAAACAATTATTGGCCTTTTGCTCTCCGTACACCATATTTGTACCTTATCCATCACTTTCTTCTCCCTCTCTCCTCTTCTTCCTCCCTACCTCCTTTCTTCCCTCTGTTGTCCTTCTCTTCTCTACTTCCCCTTCCTCTCTCCTCTTCTCTTCCCTTTCCACTCCTTTTTTCTCTCTTCCTCTCCTCCCTTGCCCTTTCTCCTATCCCTCTCTTCTTCCCTTACCTTTCTTCTCTACTTCACACTCTTCATCTCATTTACTTGGTATATTTCAGCTTCTGAGCAAGCTCCATTTGATGTTGATGGTATTTATAATTCCTTTTCAGTATACATATTAAATTTTAACATATATCTTCCTCCTTTTTTTTAAAGAGAGAGATAGAAAAGTATACATATATAATAATTGTACTTTTAAACCACCACCACCTAGCCTAATTTTGGACGAGATTTAGACGTGGTTACAATTCCCAGCTATTCTCATCATTATATTTATATAATTATGCATCCTTACATTATGCATCTGTCTTTAAATCTCAATAGTTTCCCATTATACATCTGTCTTTAAATCTCAATAGTTTCCCATTGTAAGTATATTTCATGTTCCCTCTCCATTTTTCCATCTCTTGGTTTAGGTTACCCTTAATTGTCTATAAATAACAATCCTTGCTGTTCAATGTTCATTACAATTCCCTTAATCTACTATATAGAATACCAAACAGTACAAATCTCATTTTGTTCATCACTTAGAAGTTCTATATATGTCCATATTTTGTATATTTTAATCCATACTTAATTGTCCTTCAATATTCAATCAATTAGCAACTCAGTTTAATTGTCATGTATAAAAGTGAATCACAAACCTCTGATTTACAATCTCCCCATATCAGTTTCATATTTCTCCATATTCCATATATTTTAACCTTTATTTAACCTTAATTATCTTTCCATTATCATATTGAATCAATTAGCAACACAATTTTATTGTCATATTTAGGAGTAAACCCTTTATCTCAGCTTTATATTTCCCCATATAACAATTTCTAATTGTCTGTTTTTTTTCTAGTAAGTCTTTTGCCCCACCTCTCTATTCCTGCCTTCTTCCTTTTCTTTGTTTTGACACGTCCACCCTCTTCAATTTTCCTCAAGCCACGGTCAAAAAAATCTTTTATATTTCCCTTTGTTGGGGCGTAACCTTCTTCTTCAGTTTTCCCTATGCCACTATGAGCCTTTATAAAATATTTTGTCTGGTTTTTATTTCCTTTTGTTGGGACACATCTCCACTTTTCAATTTTCCCTATACCACTGCCAAACCGAAAGATGTTTTTTGTCTGCTTTTTATTTTCCACCATTTCTACTCCTTCATTATCTCTCCCCCCTTCTTCCTTTCCTTCTTCCTTAAATTCCTGCTTCTCTGGGTTCAGAATTCTATTTAGGCTTGATTTTAATTATTTATGCATATTTTTTTTATAATTTCATGTAGTTCTTCAAAATCCCACCTCTCCATAATGTCCAGTTCCAAGGTTACAGTTAATTATACAGTTCATATTTCAGAGTTCTGGTCCACCTTAAATTTTTCTAATTCAGCTGCTGTGTAGAAGAGCAAGTCATCCTGGTCTTTTGTTCTTCCTTAATGTCCAGTTCCAAAATTGCAGTTAGCTATACAGTTCTTATTTCAAAGTTCTGGTCCACCTTAAATTTAGCTAATGTGAGAAGGGAAGAGAAGCTGGAGCCATCTTGATCTTTTGCAAAGAAAAAAACCCGTGTTTTCCCAGTTCTTGATTTTATTATTATTTTTTTCCCATTGCTACCTTCCACCTCTCATTGGTTATGATTGCTCAAAACACATTAATTGGAACAAACTTGCATACAGCCAAACTTGGGTATGTTCCTCTTCGTCTCCTGCTTTTCCAGGTTCTGATTTATGGCAGTTGGTTAATTGAATCTCCCACACAGGCAAGATTAGGTTATCAGTTGTCAGTGAGAAAATCGTGCTTTTTCCTTGATTTTTCTTCCTTGTTGCATTCCACCTCTCATTAACTGGAGTTGCTTAAGATATATTAGAAGAAATGTGGACAAAGTAAATCACCTCAGGATGTTTGGTTTCTACTTCAAATCCAAAACCAAATTTAGAGTTTGTATTTGAGTGGGTTCGTCTATGCTCTGCTTTCTCCCTTTCCGTCCAAATTGTTTCAAACAAATGGCTTTTTTGGGGGGGGAGGGCTAGTGTTTCAACCCTCCATTTTCCCTTTCTTTTTTTCCTTTTGCCAAAATCCAGATCTGTCTATTAATATTATTTGTACTCTCAAAATTCTTTGCCTTTTCCAAGCTTTGATTTATGACTGTGGGTTAGATGAATCTTCTTACCAGTCTTTCATCTCAACCTAATGCTCCTGTTCAATTGCTTTGTCTGGAAGCCAGCTTCTTGTGTAATGCCATGCTGCCACCCCTATTCCGATTCAGAGGGCAAATCTCCAACCTGCGAGGGACCTGTTGCCTCCCTCTGGGTCTGATGAGATACTGCTCCTTCTTCACTTCCCCCACCCCCACGGGGGGGGTGGGTGTTCTGATCCAAAAAGGATGTCGGAATTGGTTTGTCAGACAGAGTTTATGTGAGACTCTTCAGACCCTGCTCGTCTGTCCATCTGGAGAACTTCCGGTCGAATCTGGTCACATTTGCATTTTTGTAAGTGTGCAAAAAATAGGAAAACATTCAATCATAATAAGCATTGGTCATTTTTATGGTGCTTTTCTATTGGATCTCATTTCTAAGTAACCACTACTTATTTTATTTATTTATTTGAACAAAAACAAGAAACAAGTAATGAAATCAGAAAAGGATGGGAAGAGGTTACAAGCTGCACCATATCAAAGCTCCTTGAAATGCTTATTGGGACATAAGGATATCGTTATTGAACACATGGGTAGCAATCACGCTAACTACAAGCTTTACCTTGTTCTTGTCTTCGTTTGCCCCTTCCCTCACAGTTAATGCTGAATATATTGTACTATAGGAAATAAGACATTGCTGAGAAATTATAGTTCCATTTGACCAATTCAGTGAATCTAAACATTTGTATAGAGTGCCAGTTTGGTACAATGATTAAAGGTATCAGGCTAGAAATTGGTACACCATGATTTTTAGTCCTGCCTTAGCCATGATGGCACCTCAGTGTTTGTGGGCCAGTCATTCTCTTCAGCCCAAAGAAGAAACCAATGGTAAGCTGTTCCAAAATGCTGCAGGCAATTGTTAGGAATCAATACATACTTTATGACTAAATGTAAATAAATGATCTTGACAGACATTCAGAAGTATATTCATTCTTCTTTAAAATATACTACACTAAAGTTTACTTCTCTACATAAACTTTTTTTCTGGATAGAAATAATATATACGAGAAATCATTGCCAGGATATTTCTCTTGCTTACTATTCAACTTAAAAACAGCAGCCAGCAGCAGTAAAGATGTAACAGCATTTTCCATTTCTCTGCTTTCTCAATTTAATCTATAGATAGCTTTCTTCCGTATTCTAACATCTCTTTTTAACTGAACTTTTTGTATTTTCAAATACACTTAATAAAACTCATCAGCAAAGAACCGATAGTACTATATATTAAGTGATAGAAACGTACACTATGTACTGAGAATGTGAAAAAAATATTAGTTTTGTATTTATGAGATTGAAAAAGCGGATTAGAGTGTGAACATTCAAGTTGCAAAACACTATTTTTGCAGAGGAATCTATTTTTCCTTATTGTTAATATTCCCTAAAGCTGAATACCTAGAATTCATTGTTGAATATTGTCTGCTACTAGATAGTCTAGATCAGTGTTTCTCAACCTTGGCAACTTGAAGATGTCTGGACTTCAACTCCCAGAATTCCCCAGCCAGCGAATGCTGGCTGGGGGATTCTGGGAGTTGAAGTCCGGACATCTTCAAGTTGCCAAGGTTGAGAAACACTGGTCTAGATAGAGTTGCACACTTTATTTCATATAGCAGTCCTCCATCTCTGAGAACTGACATATTTTTTCTCTGCTATTGACAGGATAACAGCTTCCATAAGGAGTAAATTGAAATTCCACTTTATCTTATGACAGAATTATCTATACATATTTAAATTGACACTGAAATTTGGCAGCCGTAATCCACAAGCGTAAAATATGAAAACAGGACATGGAATTGGGAGAAAGTAATTCTACTTGTATGCCTGGAATACACAAAAGAGGAGGCCTTTTATTTTATTTTCAATAGAAGTTGGAGGATGCTGAGCCTATATTTAAGATCTGGAGAAAGATGGGAAAGTGATAGTTCAAGTTTGCCTTGCTGGTTCCAGCAGTCGATTTCAATGCAACTGAGAAATTGGTGTTCCAATTATAGGTATAGGTAGTCCTCGACTTACAGCAGTTCAATTAGTGATTGTTTGAAGTTACAGCAGTACTGAAATAAGTGACTGACGACCATTTTTCCCACTTATCGCTGTTGAAACTGTTGTCCCCAAGGACACATGATCAAACTTTGGATGCTTGGCAACTGAGTCATATTTATAATGTTGCAGTGTCCTGGGGTCATATGATCACGTTTTTTCAATGTGCTGATAAGCAAAATCAATCCGGAAACAAGATTCAATTAATAACTACATTTTAACAATTGTAATGATTCACTTAACTGTGATGATAAAAGTTGTAAAATGGGACAAAATTCACTAAACAACTGTCTCGTTTAACAACATAAACGTTGGCTCAATTGTGGTTGTAAGTCAAGGACTACAGTAACCTCTTCCATGACCTCCAGAGAGAGGAAGGTTTGTTGCTATTGAATTCTAGAGTGGTTTTTCACAAAGTCACAACTACCTAAGTACGCAGTGATTGTTTTTATCAATCACTGATATAAAAATCATTCATGGAGTAAAAAATTATATATCTTACCTTTCCTCACTTATGCACATAACTTAGGGCAACTAACAATTGAAGTTAATAGAAACACAATCATATTCAAAATGTTAAGAAGCACAACCTAGACAGCATGATAAAAAAACTTCTCTGATCAATAAACACATGTCTGAATGTGCAAAAATTATATATCAACTTAAATGAAGTGTTAGCATATGACACTGATCTAGGTATTTTTTTGGGGGGGGGGCTAAGAATTTATATAATTTTGGTGCTGCCCCAAAAAAGGTATTTTTCTGATATGCACCATTGTTATCAATTATTAATAATTTGCTAGTTTTATTCTTTTTCACCCCTGTTGCATAAAGGAAAAACTGGATTCTGCTCACAAACGTGATATAGAGGGCATGGGATTCCCTGAAATAAAGTACGGCGATTCTGTTTGTTTTGTGCAGCATGTAGCTAGCACTTTGTGGCTGACATACAAAGCACAGGATGCTAAAACATCACGTTTAGGACCACTGAAAAGAAAGGTAAAGAGAAAATTTGTATTTTTATTCCATCATCTGCGATTGTGAATAACTTGCACATGTGAATGTGCGGAAGCTCATACAGCCAGAAAATATTGCACAGTATTTAATTGTCTGCACTGTTGCCTATAAAGATGCAGTGTGAACAGTTTTGGGACATGAGGCTTTTGAGAGTTGCTCACTTGGGCTCAGTTTGTCTCTCTCTGTGTGTATGTGTGTACACAAATAGGCAGGCAGTACCATCTGTTCTAGCTATTATGGATATTAATTAGTTTGCCCCACTGGTCCTTTTTGTTGAGACATATAGACTCAAGGAATTGCATTAGTCTTCTTAAGACCCATTAACAATAGGTGCTTCAGCACTGGAGTTTACTTTCCAAATTCTGTGTTCGGTCTCCTGTATTCTTTTTAATACTCCCAGGTATATCATATTTTCATATGAGAAACAGGAAAGCATTCTGATTTCTATAAAGCCCATGGATTAATTCTATAATTTCATCTCTTAACTTATTTGGGTTGAACTGAGATACACTATCTCATTCTCTTTATCAAGGATAAGAATATAGGGAACAAGCTGCATGCCTTTACAAGACATGCCTGATGTAGCAGAACATTTCATGGTTACTTAATTCTTTCTTTCTTTCTTTTTTCTTTCTTATTAATATATTTATTTATTACATTTATGTGGACATCCATCTCACAGAAGTGACTTCCCCTCAATTTAAATCAGGGAAGTATGATTTCAATGGTATGTTCTAATCGTAGAATAGGACACAACAGATCTACCCTGGTTTGTAAAGATTGCTCATGCCACAGTTTGTTCATTTGGATATCTCAGCAAAATGGGGCCTGACAAATTAGAACACATAAAGAGTGGGGGCCAGTAGCTTTATTCCCACACAGCTACCATGACCTTATGTCCTTTATTTCAGAAAGCTGTCTTTTAGATTCCATTTTTCAAAAACTCACTTTTGTCCTTCATTTTGGTCATTTCACTTTAGCATGGTAGATGGTACAACTTAATGGACAATCTTTCACGTTCATGTAAAAAATATGGAAATGTATTGTCTTTTTAAAACAAATTTATATATACTGCTTGATTTTAGCTATTTTTATCAACATATTCATTTCCTTTTCTTGGTTTTGCTCATGATTTTTCTTTTCTAAAGCAAAGTTATAAATGTAAATATTTTTTTGTTCTTAACCACTTTCAGATTTGCTCCTTTTTCAGGCTTGTCCTTTATTTTTTTCCTAAGATAATATATCAACCATATACATACACTGTTCTACACTTCTGCTCTTGCTATTTTTCTCAGCTACATCTTATAGCATATTATCTAAAATACAACTGGGACATATTATCTGAAATTAAAAAGAACACCAGCAAATTAAAATTGCACATTCCTCCCAATCTCACACACTATCATTAGCAAACTGCATAGTAATATTTGAGACCATAATTGAAAACATACAGGGAGTCCTTGACCTACATCCACAATTGAACCCCAGTTTTCTGTTGTTAAGCACAGCAGTTGTAAAGTGAGTTGCGCCCCATTTTCTGATCACATGAGTCTGTGCAAATGTCGTAAACACAAGCCAGTGGCCAAGCGCCTGAATTTTGATCACTTGATCATGGGAATGCTACAATGTTCCTAAGTGTGAAAATCAGTCGTAAGTTACATTTTTCAGTGCCATTTTAACTTCAAATGCACACTAAACAAATGATTGTATTTTAAAATATTACTTTGATCATTTATTTCAGGTTATATTACACCAAGAAGGGCACACAGATGATGGACTCTCCTTGCAAAGGTGTCAACACGAAGAATCCCAGGCTGCTAGAATTATTCTCAATACCACAAAATTATTCAGTCAGTTTATAAGGTATAGTTTCTTAATATAATAATTAATAATTAGCATTTATAACATTTATAGTTGAATCATACCAGAATCCATATGGAAATACATTCTGTTGATATTGGACTGTAATTTATTATTGTTGAAGATTAATTTTTAAATACATCAAATGAAATTTGCAAAAAAATTGCAGCACAGTTCTTTAACAATAAATCATCTTGATACACGAATATGCTTCCACCGATAGAAGATAATGGTGTATTGAGATACAAAACCTAATCTTGATATTAACAGTTTTTTTCAAATGTATTTCTAATATTCACTACTCTAGCAATCCCCAACCTTTTTGGCTCCATAGAGGAAGAGGGGATGGCTTAAGTGCACATAGCCTAATCCCATGCATGCGCAAATAAAACTTTGTGCACTCGCCCACTGCTTGTGTGGCCCAGGGGTTGGGGATTTCTGCGCTATATCTTAGAAAATCACCTTTGCTAAGAGTCATCAGCAGTTCAGTCTACAGAAAACCTACAAAGCTATTTTAGCAGGATGATTTCACTGACCATTGTTTGTTCCAACATTTACCATAGGTGTCCTCCAGCTGTATGGGGACCCCTCACTCCCTGAATTCCGGTCAGCACGGCTATATATAACCCCAAGGAAGCAGGTTGGAAAATGCTGCTCTAGACTAGCCTCTCTAACCTCTTCCTTCTCCATTCTTACCATACTCTCAGACTTTAGAATGTAGTGACAGAAAATTCCCCTCCCTCCTTCAAAATATGCATTGGTTGTGTTATACTGATTGTGCTATTCAGACTGGAGCCATTCTTCTTACACAGGCTGAGATTTCTTCTTGCATAAGCTGTAATAACACGTTTGCGTGAACGAAAGTTACTTTTAAAAAAATCTGTTTGAGTGATATTCCTTCTCTTCATCCTATGGAACAAATCTTGGTATTTCACAACACTCTATATTGAAAAGTTAGCATTTCCTTCCCCATGACTTTTATCATATAGACATGCATATGATATTCTTAGGACATAGATTGACCAGTTTTGCTGTTTTTTGTATGCAACTCTATCAGCTTGTTAAATTTTGCATCTATGGATCATGTGATACAAAACATTCTATGTGTAAGAAAAACTATATAATAGTAATAATTGTATTCTGATTATTGTTTTGATTCTAGTAATGTATTCTTTTTTATAGCTTTGCTTTATCTTTTGATTCACAGTGGAAACAACAGTGTTACAACTCCCATCACTCTTCCCATTGAAGAAGTAGTTCAGACTCTCCAAGATTTAATTACATATTTTCTACCTCCAGAGGAGGAGCTAGAACATGAGGATAAACAAAACAAACTTCGTTCCCTTAAAAATAGACAAAATCTATTCAAAGAGGAGGTAGAAAAGACTATGTTTAGAGTGTTTTCGTTTAATCGGGTGTTGGGATCGATAGTCAAGTGTACATATGATTCGCCTTTCAAAGATGCTTTAAATAACCATTATTTGTATTTGTATTTTATTATTTGTATTTTATTAAATTTATATGCCACCCTTTTCCCTGGGGGGACTCAGGGCAGCTCACAACTTAAAAAGGGGGAAGGGGGGAATAACAAACTTTGACATATAAAACAATACAAATTTAAGAACACAACATTCATACATTATTATTATACTCTGAAAAACTCAGTCTTAGAATCTTGGTTATATTAATCCTTTTGAAGGTGAGATCCAAACGGGACCTTGGGAAGATGATTCCACAATTGTGGAATGGGAAGGGATCACAAGGATCACCTAGGTTAAAAAAAACACTGGCCTAGTCCATTACAGAATACAATTATGCTTCAGGTTTTCTGAAAAGATCAGAATGCTAGTTTCTTTTTTCTGAGCTGTCATAGACAATTGATAACTTAGATCAGGGGTGTCAAACTCCAGGCCTGGGGGCCGGATCTGGTCCAGAGGGTGCTTAGATCTCGCCCAGAGGGTGCTTAGATCTGGCCTGAGGGGCTGCCCTGGAAACAACAATGGACTGGCAGTGCCCCTGCCAGCAAAAATTGAGCTCAGGAGGGCTATGGGCAGCTCCATTTTCACTGGCAAAGGGTTGCACAAAGTCTTCACAGCCAAAAACAAAGCTTGGGAGTCCGTTTTTGCTGGCAGAGATTTGCAGTAGGCCGTCACAGCCAAAAACGGAGCTTAAGAGTCCGTTTTCGCTGACAGAAGGTTGCAGGAGGCCGTCACAGCCAAAAACGGAGCTTGGGAGTCCGTTTTTGCTGGCAGACCACTCGGGCCACTACAGGTGTGCCTGACACGGGTGACGTTGAGCTGGCCATGTCCATCTTGGGCTCTGAAGTCAAACACAATCCTGATGCGGCCCTCAATGAAAGCGAGTTTGACACCCCTGGCTTAGAGGAATATGAAGCATCATATATAAGCCTTTATTTAAAAAAGGGCTGGCCGATGAGATATAATTTGGGATTTTCTGTATTAAATCAACTGTAGAGTTTCCTGACTGAGGGATTAAATCTTCTCCTTTGCAGTTCACAGAAATAACTAATAATTTTAAAACTGATTTTAACGAATTGAAAAAAATGATGTTCTGGATGGATATAGTTCTTGTTCCCATCTGGTTTTCATCATTTTTGCTGACAATTGGGTGGCATATAAATTTAATACATTATTATTATAATTATATAATTAATTATCTTTTCACACAACCCATACTTTATTGCTGTTTTATTATCAATAATAGTCATAATATTCTTTAGAGCATATTTGTGTTCTACTGTTTGTAGTATTCATTAAGCAAAATTATTATATAAATTTAATCTTTTAAAGACATTAAAAATAAGGCATGATAACATAATACAGAAGAAAACAACAAACACATACATTTAGAGTCACAAATGTATCAGTAAAAGTAACAAGACCAATAAGATCATTCCAAAGAATATAGGTAAAAATATCATAAATGAATGATTCCAAAGACTGGAACACCTAGTCTGTTATCTATGTAAGAATCAACAAGAAAATATTTCTGAAGGAGATGATTTTGGAGGTGTGAAGCCAAGAAAAAGAAAAGGCCCTGTCCCTGGTGGAGTAATTTCTGATAAAACAAAGAGCAGAGCTTCTGATGCGATCCTAATCCTTGAACAGGAACGTTATAACATGGATAATGGATTGCAAAGCATTTGCAAAGGGTTTGGAAGTCAATACTAGCCCCCTAATTGGACTTGCAATTGAAAAGGCAACCAGTGTAATCAGTGCAAAATAGAAGTAATGTGATTAGACAATCTAGTTGCCAGAGATGTTCTCATTACTGCATACATTCTACCAATAGTTGATTTCCAAACTGTGTTTCAGGGTAGGTGTATGCAGCAATCCAATTTGCTAATGGAGGCAGCGGGATGATTTTCTATTGGGGAAGTGGCTCTTGGGAAGAATGAAAGCTTTCCTTTCTCTAATGCTATGACCCTGGTCCAGATGAGACCTTTATGACTGCTTTAAGCAAAATGATAGTTACAATGGTTGATTTTGTATTTTTGAAATCTATCTTCTCCCACATGTACAGCTAGTTATTTTCTTTCTGGGAAGAAAATTTATTATACTTAATATTTTATAGTTCAATACTGTATTTGAATAATATTTTATAGTTCAATACTGTATTTGAATTGCTTGTTTAGACATTTAAAATGTAAAGGAATATATACGTGAAGATACAAAGAGTGTTTCTAATTATGTGTTTGCAGGGGATGCTGGCATTGGTTCTGAACTGCATTGATCGATTAAATGTATACTACAGTACCGCTCATTTTACAGGAGTTGGTAGAGAAGAAAATAGCGCAGCATGGAAAGAAATTCTGAATCTTCTTTACAAGTTATTAGGTGAGTTATACAGTGTAAACAAATATATGTTGAAGTAAGTCATGCAGAGTTCAATAAGATTTTGGAGAAAATTTTGAATTAAATCTAAATCAGAGGAGCTGAATAATTTTCCCCATAATGAACAACACATTAAAACCAACTCTAAAACTAAATCAATATGTTGTTAGATGATACATTGCAATTTATGTCCTGGTTATGTTAATAAAATATTTTAATAATGTACTTTACAATTTGTAAATGTGGTTCTCGATAGAAGAGAATATTTGTAGTTCAGAGTTGAATTGGTGCTCTCTGAGCTTGGTTGTTTTCTTGCAGATGTTTCATTACCAAACTAGGTAATGTCATCAGTGCTAAATGTGGTTTCCTTTTATGATTCAGAAATGTATGTGTGTACAGCAAAAATAATAATAATAATAATAACCCCAGAGAAGAAGACTAATTTGAAGACAAATTAGAAAGATACCAGGCCACATTCTTAAATGCCCTGCTTTCAGTTTCATATTTTTCTTAACTGTTATTACCATTCCCTTTCTGAAGTTTAGTAATAATTAACAAATGTATTAAATGTGGGTAACTCTCATCTCCTATTGAAGATTGCTGAATTTTTCGTTGACATCTACTTTAGCAATGCAGAAACTGCTGAATAATATTTTTTTCTTCAAATAGGTGAACCTAAGAACTGTTAGCCTTTTTTCTGTAACTGTATGAACTCTTTATCAGTGGAAGTTTATGAATGTTAGATACAGTTTTGAAAACAAACTATTTTATTTGTAGATTTGATTGTGCTTTTTGAAAACTCAGTTGATTAATAAATTCTTATATAAATAAATATGCTCTGATGTACAAATGTATAGAAAAATAAATTCTTGATTAGATCATTTTTAAAAATAATGTATATGTATTGAAATTCATTCTTTATTCATTGATTATAGAATTAAGAATTATTGAGTTTTACATTTATAACTAGCAGTAATTGGAAGCCACTGCATTTTTAATGACTTTTACAAATAGTTTTGTGTGATTAAATCCAGAACAATGTAACAATGAATTTAGAGCTGAAGATGATGGGTTAATGGTATCAAATGTTTATCCAGTGTCAGAAATATTGAATGTCTACTGGAACAGTAATAATCATATGCCTAGTGAAGGTACCAGTAAACTATATTCCTTTTATATCTAGAATATACAGAAAACCATATAATGGATATATCCTGAATATCAACATGTAGTTGATGGAGACATATTTTATATTTTGGTTTTATTCTAAAATAATTGTATCTATAGTTAACTGATCATCCCAAATCTATCTTTCAGCTGCTCTCATTTGTGGTAACAGAAACAATTGTGCCCAGTTTTCCAATAATCTTGATTGGTTGATTAGTAAATTGGACAGACTAGAGTCTTCTTCAGGTGAGATATACCAGTCTACTTTTCTATAACCTAAAAAAAGGCTGTTAACTCTAATTATAGTTTTTCATTCAAGAATTCCCCATACTATCCATCCTGTTTTCAAGGAACAGTTATCTAACACATTAATTCCTATAATGATATAATGCATTGAGGTATCCTGTTTCCTTGAAAATAAGACCTCCCCAGATAATAAGCCCAATTGGGCTTTTGAGCACATGCGCTAAAATAAGCTCTCCCCTGAAAATAAGCTCTCCACGAAAATATTGCAACACAGCAGCAGCCATGAGGTGACCACGCTCACTGCCTCCTGCATCTCAAAAATAATAAGACCTTCCCCAAAATAAGGCCAAGCGCTTATTCTGGGGGCCAAAAGAAAATAAGACTCTGTCTTATTTTGGGGAAAACATGGTATTTACAGTGCAATGCTATTTAGATTCTACCACAACTTTTGAAATAAAAGCTATTTTTACTGATTCGTAGAACAGATTAACACATTTCTTGAATTAATAAGAAAAATGTTATTGAAGCAAATATATGGAGAAAAATATTGTTGTAATTTAGACCCAGACGCAAACTGAACAGAAATTCTTAAGAATGAATGAAAGTCTGCTGCTAGATTTAGCTTTAGGGCTAAGGGATTTATGTTTCTAAAAATAGCTTCCTTTCCAGTTCAGTTGTCCCTTAATTTGTTATCTGTCCTCAGATAAAAATACCGTAAAAGAAAAATCCACATCTAAGTCATTTTGCTTTCTTGAAGCTGGCTGCCTATTTCAGGCATCTTCAATTTTTAAATTTTAAGCATTTTTAAAGAGCTTAAAGAAGGATTTTTTTCCTTTCATTTATATTTGTTTCAGTGCTCGAATTATCATATATGTTATAGTTTCTACCCCTGAAACTCAAAATAATCTCTTTGTCCTTGGCATTCTAATAGGTATCTTAGAAGTGTTGCGCTGTATCTTGATTGAAAGCCCAGAAGCTTTAAATTTGATAGATGAAGGCCATATAAAATCCATCATCTCCCTGCTGGATAAGCATGGACGCAACCATAAGGTATGCTTTAAAAATGCAAGATGCATCTTTACTATGTAACATATTCCATAAATAAAACCAAAATTATTACAACACCTGTAAATTATATTAAAATGAAATGAAGCACATTGTTATAAAAACCTGCTCTTTTGCCACAAAACAAGTATGAAATTTAGGGGTTTTTTTTCTTTGTTTTGGCTATTATTAGATTATCAGGAACAATTTCTTCTGACTGTGGAAATATAAGTAACAAATTGGCTTGCTCTATGTAAACTGTCTTTAAAATGCTATATATAGTCTAGACAGAGTTATGTAGATGTTATATTATGTTGTGCTCTTATTTTATGAGTTTTTACATGACTTGCTCCTCATTCCATCCCATGAAGAGGAGAATTTGTCTATTTTTATATCCTATGTGATGTTTTTATATGTTGACTACTAGAAGGCAGTACAAGATTGTTTTTCCCTGCTTGGAGTCAACAGGTATGCCTAAATATGTACCTGAGAATATCCTTTAGTCCCCTGGAATGTGTAATTTCCTACTTTCCAGGAAGTAGCCAAAAACATTTCACATCTCTTTTCAAATTTTAGATAACTAGGGCATTGATTATCTTGGATACCATTAGCATCTATGACAATATGCAAGCTTACAAAACAGAAGGATTTACGGATTTCAAACATCTCATGTAAAAATAAATTCTAAAAAGGTTTTGTGCCTCCATTGATCATACATATAGAAGTTCATAGTATTGGACATGGAGAGCATAATAGCAATAGCATTTAGACTTATATACTGCTTCATAGTGCTTTTACAGTCCTCTCTAAGTGGTTTACAGAGTCAGCACATTGCCCCCAACAATCTGGGTCCTCATTTTATCCACCTTGGAAGTCAATCTTGAGCCTGGTGAAATCTGAACTGCTGAACTGCAGCTAGCAGTCAGCTGAAGTAGCCTGCAGTACTGCACTCCAACCACTGCGCCACCGCATAATCACTAACCACTGTACCACCCCTGTAATCCTGTGCATTTTACTCAGCCCCAATGAAGTCACTAGGACTTGGTCTCTAAATAAGTGAATATGGAAACTGTTTGAATAATGGAACAGAATCTGGAGGAATGCAGTGGAGACTTCGGAAGAAATATGCTTATATTTAAGAAAAGAAAAATGTTATACAGGGTTATTTGTTTAGAAAATAAATTGAAGCAATTGCTTTAAGGCTCAACTCTGGTACTTCTCTTGGCATTTAAAAGGATATCTTCTACAGTGCTGTTTCAGACCAGCTGTGCTCAAATGTTTGGGTAAACAAGTGAGAGCCAAAACTTTCTTTAGTATCTCTTAAGCAGAAACTGCTCATCAAGCATTGTGAAAGGGCTTGTGGGCAGGACATGTTCTCATCCTTTCACCAGTTTAAGCCCTGTATATTCAAGCCTTATCTCTTCACTGGGCAAATTGCCCAATGGATGCCTTTTTGTCCTTCTTTTGTTAATTTTTCCTTCCATCCATTTTATTTTACATTATTGACTAAACTGTTTATGAAACACTGGTCAAAAACAAATCCTTTGATTCTCATATCTATTCTAGCTCCCACTCTATGTTTCCTTTCTATAAAAATCCTGAAGTTGTTCTTTCTTAACTAGGGACCTGTCTTGCTCATCATAATCTTTGCGGTTCCATTCAATCAGGATGTTGATCTAGGTCCTCCCACTGATACAGCTCTCTTTGAATTGTTGAATGATGTTTATTATCTATTGACTATGCTGCTGCTCTTAGATAATCAGCTGTATTTAATATTCTTAACCGTCAAATGCTTTCATCCTGATTATTGAATTGTTGGGGCTTATTGATGCATTTTCCTCTAGTTTTTGTCTTTTTTATCCCCTTCTTTTACCTGTTTCCTTTAAAAACTCTTGTTTTTGTAAATTTCCCTTTACAGTTGGTATTGTTCAAGGTTCACTCCTGGGTCATGTTCCCTTTATGCTTTAGAGTAACTTAATACTAGAATTGGTTTTTGATAACACATCTACTCTGATCATACCCAAATGTACTGATAATCTTCCAAGATTGATTCAGTGACACAGAATTCCAATGGGTTTTTTTTTAAACAGAAAATGTCATCTTGGATGATTGCCCATTATCTTGAGCTCAGACAAAACAGAGCTCTTAGTGTTTTGCAAAAAATAAAAAAAACAAATTCCATCTGTCTCCAGGGCTATGAGATTGCCTCCACATCAGTTGCCAGGAATTTGTGCCTGCAGGTGGATAATAAATTGTCCTGCACTCATTCATTGCACCTACTGTGAAGATCTGCCATTTTCAAATGTAGAATATTTGCTGTGTTTTTCAATTCTTGACACTTGATGCAGCAAAGCTTCTCATTCATGCTCTGATTGTGTCATGCATTGATTACTGCAACACCTTACTGGAAGGCCTCCCTGCCTACTCTTGCTTCTTTGTCCTGGGTTCAAATGACTATAGTCTGGATTTTTGTAATCTTTTTCTCTCTCTCGTGTCTCTATATACCACATAGTCTGTATAGGCCAGATACCACTAAACAAACTTAATTTTGGTTTTGGGGGTATTGATCCCTACTTCATTGTTGAGAACGTACATCCCCACAAAATGGATTATTTGGCATCCTTGGCATTTTGGCTGTGTCCACTACTCTGACAGTAAATTTAAGGTTGAGAGCCTTTCAAGATCTAGCCTCACAGCTTTAGAATCAGCTCCTTACTCTGTGATCTATGGATGATTTTCTAGTTTTAATGGTGTGGAGGAATGTTTGATGTGGAGGAAAAGATACAGGTCAGAGGGATCTGGACTGGCTTGGATAATAGGCTTCTCAGAATTTCATGTTTTACATTGGTTAATTTTACCTAATTTAATTAGTTTAATTTATTGTAAATACTGTACTTGTGTCAGAGTTCCAAGTAACACCTCTAACAAAAGATGACTCCCAGGCTTGAAGTTCCTAAAAGTTCCATTTTATTAGAGATGTCATATTGGCACATCTGGGAAACCCCGAATCTGAAAGTTCCAGGTTTCCCCCCCCCCCCAAAAGAAAGTCAAAGATCCATCCCCTGCACTCACAAGTCCATCACATGGTCCAATCAATTCACCCTCCCAACTGGAGACAACTCCCAGTCACTACCATCCAGGTGCAGGCTGAATGCCCTTGACTCTCCGAGAAAGAAATATTGTTATGGCTAATCCTCCATCACTCCTGTAATCCCCCCCATCCCATTTTCCCAGGCACTAAATGTGGCAGCCCTAAAGTTCCAACAGAAAATATGGCTTCCAGGGCTGACAGCTTGTTTTCTTTAGATCTGAACTACCAATGTCTATAGTATGTCAGTTTTGTAATTTTTTAAAATTTTCATTAATTAATATTCCTTTATTTTTACTCCATTCTAGAACAACAGTAAGAGTAAGAATAATAAGAATAGATATGCCTGTTCCAAGTGCTTGAAAAGCAATAGGAAGACAAAAATGCCAAATATCTGAATGACTGTGCAATGGACCATAATAATGGTATTAGATTTCTAGCTAGATTTCTTTAGCAGTGAAATTAAAACTGCTTGAAATTAGTATTGTATTATGCTGTATATAGTTCTAAGACTCACATCTATTAATGTTTTCTAGGTTCTTGATGTCCTGTGCTCTCTTTGTCTCTGTAATGGTGTAGCAGTGCGTGCTAATCAGAACTTAATATGTGACAATCTTCTTCCTCGAAGAGATCTGCTCTTGCAAACACGGCTGGTGAATGATGTGACAAGGTATCATTATATATCAATTATGTTTATTAAAATATTTAATCTCTGTAACAGGAATTGAGCAGAAAAATCAGTCACAATTTATGTGCTGTGTGAGGATACATAGCAGTTCTTCGTCTGTTTTGTTGGATCTGTAATTTTGTAGGTGATTTTATTTATGCATTGCATCACATTCCCTCTTTGACTTGTCAGTAAAATTTAGTTATAGGAGAAAGTCTTGAACACATAACAGCTGAATGTCCTAGAAGCAAAGTGTTATACTCATGAATTATTATTTAGAAGGATAATTTGGATATTGACTTTACCCTTATATACTAGATAGTTTGAAAACAATGTTCAATGACTACTTTACTATTGATATATTAACTATGGTTAGCATAATATTGAGGTATACATGAATATTTCTATTTATTTTTTAAATTTAGGGATTGCCTATCTCACTCTCAGTGAGATAGGGCAGTTTATAACTAAAGCATAAAACAATATAATAATATAATCAAGCATAGAAGTAAAATGGGAGCTAACTACCATGTTTCCCTGAAAATAAGACAGAGTCTTATTTTCTTTTGCCCCCCAAAATAAGTGATTGGCCTTATTTTCAGAGAGATCTTATTATTTTTTAGGTGCAGGAGACGGCGAGGGTGGCTGCTGCTGTGTTGCAATATTTTCGGGGAGGGCTTATTTTGGGGAGGACATATTTTAGCGCATGCGTTCAAAAGCCCAATTAGGCTTATTATCCAGGGAAGTCTTATTTTCAGGGAAAAGGGAAACCTCAATGCATTATGTCATTATACGAATTAATGTGTCGGGTTAAAAAAACAAAGATGGTGGCTGAGCCCAATTTTGAAAGGCCAAGAGAGTGGGGTTTTACTTTAAAGGGGAAAATATTTCATAGGTGGGGACAAGAGTAGAGAAATCTTTCTTCCTGAATCCCAAAGCCATGGTATATATTTTATTGCAGTGTGTTTGATATGCTCTTCATTCTCTTCTTTTTTAGCATAAGGCCAAACATATTTCTTGGAATTGCTGAGGGCTCAGCCCAGTATAAAAAATGGTATTTTGAACTAATCATTGATCAGGTGGAACCATTTCTGACAGCAGAACCTACACATTTGCGGGTTGGATGGGCCTCAACATCAGGCTATGCACCTTATCCCGGAGGTGGGGAAGGATGGGGAGGAAATGGTGTTGGTGATGACCTGTACTCCTATGGCTTTGATGGACTTCATCTGTGGTCTGGTAAGAACTGGTTTAAAATGTGAACTGCCACAAATCATATGAAGATTTGCAAAGCAGAATTGTTTTCTTTTTCTTTTTAAGGAATTTTTCTTGCCTCTTTGAAAGAATAATTTTTCTCTCTTAATATTCACAGTTCAAGTGTAATTCATAAAGCTGAATTGCACTTGACTGGAAATAAAGGCGAGGGGATTAATACTTTATCTATATTTGTTTTGTGTCCCTTATTCATTTGTTTATTTATTTTGTTTGGTTTTATTTGGGAGCTATAATGTCTATTTTGTTTGGCTTTGTTTAGGAGCTATGCTTAGAAACCAATGAACAGTAAGCATGCACAAACCCAGTTTAAGTTCTTGTGGATTGCACACCAAAAACACTTGTTTTGTTAAATCCAACAAAACATTGGACATTCATAATATTGACTATTAAATAATGGACAGACGAAAATGAGTTTTCTTTGCAGCTTGCACTGGATGCTGCCTGCCTATGGAATTCAAAAATAATTCCATTGATAACTAAAAAGAATGACATGCAAATTTGCATTTAATTATAACCTACATTATCCTCCTGTAACCATATGGTTTCTATGTTTTTCTTTAAAGTATTCGCTTCTGTGTGCCTAGAATTGCACTATAAAATTAGGAGAAAGCCATTTAAAAGATAATTGCATCCTGATCTGTAAAGAAAATTTGGTTGTTGTCTGTAAATTGGAATAATATTCCAATTTCTAAATATTTTTCACTCTTGCAAAAAAAACAATTTATGTAATGTGGAAAAAAATGATTTTAAAGTCACGAAAATTTCACAGTTGCTCCCCGGCATTTCTGAGATCATTTTTCCTTATGATTCTCTGTTTATTAGGTCGAATATCCAGGGCTGTTGCATCCGTGAATCAGCATTTATTAGCATCTGATGACGTAGTCAGCTGTTGCTTGGATTTAGGGGCACCCAGCATTTCTTTCCGCATTAATGGACAACCAGTGCAAGGAATGTTTGAAAACTTTAATACTGATGGACTTTTTTTCCCTGTGGTGAGCTTCTCAGCTGGTGTCAAGTAAGGAAGATTTTGCTTTCATATCTGTCCCAAATGGTTGTATTGAAGATTGTTTAGTAGAGTTAATGTACTCTAAGGCAGTGGTCTCCAACCTTGGCAACTTTAAGACTTGTGGACTTCAACTCCCAGAGTTCCTCAGCCACAGGTCTTAAAGTTGCCAAGGTTGGAGACCACTGCTCTAAGGTACATTACAGTTTACAGTTGTCAATCATTATCAGAAAATTCAGGGTTTAAAAAAAAAAATCAGAATATGGAGAATGAAAGATAATTTTGACACTGCCTATTTTTGATTTGGATTCTCCCAAATCTTATACTAAATGGACCCATTATGAACTGTTGGGGTTTTTTTTTCCTGATCTATGTGAAATTATTCACTCCCTCTTATATATCACTGGAGAACTGCTTGAAGATAATACTATTTTTCTTTGACAAAAGGTCAAGTTCTCTTCTGACATACAAAGATTAAACAAACCATGATACATTGGTATGCTGTATGATTTATTAATCTTACCTTTCCTATATTCTTCCCTTAAACAATAACATTCTCTTTAACATCCCCTATTATTCAGAAATATGCTATAATAAGAGTAATTGAAAATTATATTGGATTGTTTGTTCTAATTTTATTTTCTACTAGCTGATAACTGACATTGCCCGAGTATTTCTTTATGCTATTTATTTATTCCAGAGTTATGCTGGAACACACACACACACACACACACACACACACACACACACACACACCGAGGAATGTTAGGAATGTGTTAACCCTACAGTATTTGTTTCC